AAGAGCTAGCAAAGAGCACACAGGAGTGATTATCAGTCACCTGTGAAACTTGTTTGAGTGTCATCATTAGGGTAGCACAGAGAAAAGAACAGTGAGGTTTTCACCACTTCAAATTTTACAAGTGTTACGTGCCATTAAATAAAACTTCGAGTATGTTACATCTAAAACGGAGGTTGTGGTGCAATCCCTCTTCTATGGGAGAAAGGTCACTGAGATTAAAAAAGGGGGGGGGGGAAGATACTTATCTGTCATTGCCATGGTACCGTTTTATGTTTACTGACTACAGGACTTTCTCCCACACTACATGGGAGGAGACTCAGAGATGCAAGATGGTGATTGTTCTTTGACAAACGGAGTACTTCGATGTTTTATCCTATTGAACTTATGTACTCAGGCAGTTTTCAAGGTGTTACTCATGTAATGTTTTGTAGCCTCGCTTGTCGAGGGTAGAATTGGAAAATTAAGTTAAAATTGCCCCTGAAATCTGTACGGCGTTTTAGATTGGTGAAAGTAACAACTTGAGAGTTTTCAGGTAAATTAAAATCTTACTGTACAGTCACCGGTTTTCAGGATAGTTTTGTGAGATGATTTTTGGGGGAATACAGGAATAATAAATATCCTTATTAATTAAGGATAACAATACTCCTTTTTTATTGCCAATTTCTTTCCTTAACCAGACGTTACTTAGAAGTTAGAAACAAATATTGTTAATTCCTTTAACATTAATTCAAATTTAAACCTGCTTTTTCAGGTGAGAATTCATATCTACAGCTTTTCTTCCCATGAAGAAAACCACTACCGGTATCCTATTTGCACTTAATAATAGAAAACCTTTATCTCCAAAATCACTGCTACACAAAACCATAAGCGATACATAACTCACGTCTCAGGTTGCTATAAATTCTTGTTACTCTGTCTAGTAAAACAGTGGGATGCATCTAACGCGGGTTAATTCACTTTTATATCGGTCATTTCAGTTTTGGTTGGTATCACCAGCCTGAAGAATATCTAGAATCTAAATGCATTTGGCACAAAGGGTTTAAGTTCTCTTTTTACACAGGAAAAACTTCCCGCACTACCATACTACATTGACGTGTAATGTTTTCCAGAAGCAACCCCGCATTTGAGTCAGGATTATTTGTAGCAAACTACTTGAAACATGTAAACGGTAAGATCAATACTGCACTAACACTTAAGCTGCTTTCAGATTTGTCATAAAGCACTTGGATAATGAAAAATATTTCACTTGTAATAAACAACTACAACTTAACAAGAGAACTGTGAAAATATTTAGCTGAAATAGTCATGTAACTGCTCATCCACATCGCTCTGTTCCGTGGTAGTCATACCCCATATGAAACCTTGTCTTTCCAGAGGGACATTAAATAAACAAAGGCAAACTGACGGGCTGGAGCAGTGTCATCTTGATGTGCAGGCCGGCGGAATGACATTCTG